CATACACACCCAGCCCACTATCACTCGCAAAACCAACAAAATAAAAGAAACTCCAAGGCGCCCAAAACAGGGCCCCGAGATGGGTGTTCGACACTCACTGGCTGGACTTCACCACTAGTGAAGCTCTGCACGGATGGGCGAACACCCCGTCACTGAACATGGTCTGGGACACCATGGGGAAAAACAGATCACAAGAAGTCACACGTTTCACAACAACTACGACACTTTCCTCAGAAACACCCCTCAGTAGATCTAGAAATATGCACAACCTGTTTAACCTGATCTACGACCCACCCCCTGCTCCTATATTCCAATGACACTCGCCTCCTCCAAAACCACTCCTCAAAATATCTAGCTCCTAACTACCCCAGACTCCTTAACTCTTCTCCCCCTTATTAGTGGAGAGGGGGGGGGGAGGAGAAGGTGCTAACTCCCGTTTAGCAGTGACTCTGAGGGGGAGGGGGGGTAGGAGAAGGTGTTAACTCCCGTTTAGCAGTGACTCTGAGGGTGGGGGGGGGGGACACGATGTTGACTAGTGGATCAAACCTCTGCTGGTGTGAGCCTCCAGGACTCACTCAGCTGAGGGCTGCTATCTCCGTGGGTGCGCTGAAAAGACGGAATGTTGTCACAAAATACCGACTCCTTGCTTCCATTGCTTAATACGGTCATAAAAACTCGTAAACTCCATGCAGCTGGGTCTAGTCCTGGCACTTTATCTCAACCTAAAAACCCTTCCTCTCCCCCTCCCCCCCCCCGTCCCCATTTACCCGCTCACCACATGGGGTACCTTGTCCTATATATAATTCGTATCGATTAAGGTAGAAATTGAGGTGTGGGTGGGTTCCCGGGAAGGGGAAGTGGTTGGAAGCCCTCAGGGATGGGGAAGTGGTGGTGGCTGGCTACACTGCTCGTGACCATGGCCCATGCCTGATTGCCCTCCTGACCCTAAACAAGTCCACTTTCAAAGGAAAAGGCTAAATATTAATAAAGATATGAAAAATTATTTTATTCAAAATATGGGAGATTGGTATCAACAATACACGCAGCTCTGCGTTGATAGTTTTTACGAGGACATGGTCGAGAACATAGAGAAATTAGTACAGAGGAAAAATAACGGGGGCAAGGGAAGCAAGACGCATGGCCTAAGAAATTTAAATATTACAATGATCAGCAAGTCAAGGGGTGGGAGAGAATGCTACGGAGTGCACATAAAGAATGGTTAAAATATGGAATGAGGGATGAAGAGAAAAATACAATGTTGGAAGTGGCTAGGGAATGCAGTCAGGTGAGGAAGGAGGCGCGGGACAGATACTGGCAAGACTTTGCTCAGTCCATTGGTAATACTAAGAACCTGAAAGACATATGGAGAGCAGTAAACAAAGTCAGGCGTTGTAAGACCAAATTCATTGCTCATTCAGATCCAGGGAAAGTTGCTAATGAGTTAATAGATAAATGGGCAAGTGCTGCTGGTATGGAGTCCTTACCTGCAGACACGAGAGTCACCATTGAGTCATGGGAAAATATTAGAAATGGAGTAACTTTATGTGCCTTAAATACAAGATCTATAACATGCACGGAGATAACTCACGATGAGCTACTGGATGCTATAAAAAGTGGCAGCTCTACTGCTCCGGGAAAAGATGGAGTAACGTATGACATACTTAATTATTTAGCCGGTATGACACCTAGTCCCTTACTTGATTTGTTTAATATGAGTTATAGAGAGGGAAAGTTACCAAGAAAATGGAAAGAGGCTGTCATCATTCCTATCCCTAAGTCAAACGGAGGCTACAGACTTGTCTCCTTAATATCCTGCTTTTGTAAAATGATGGAAAGGATTTTGTTAAATAGGCTATTCTACCTTGTAGGTGATAACATGTCCAGTAATCTCTTTGGTTTTATCAAAGGCAAAAGTACTGCGGATTGTCTCTTAAAGTGTTTGTCTAATGTGGATGACAATTGTTGAGTTTTTGTTGATCTACAAGGAGCATTTGATAAAGCCAATGGGGAAGTAATCTTATACGAATTAGCCAATCTGGGAATAACAGGGAGATTGCTACACTGGATAAGGGATTATCTACAAGGCAGAAAAGGTCAGGTGTATTACCAGGGATACATGTCTGAGGAACGGAGGTTTCAGTTAGGTACCCCACAAGGGGAGTATTAAGTCCCACCTTATTCAATGTATTAATGAACAGATTAGCATCAGAGATGTATCCTCCAGGGGTCACGACGATCATATATGCTGATGACATTCTTATACAAGGCACTTCTGGGAACAAAATTCAAACTGCTCTTAACATACTTGGTACAACCTGTCACAAGTTAGGCTTAGTTATAAATGCAGATAAAACCAAATATGAGTGTAGGAAACGAAGAAATATATCACTTACTCTAAATGGTGTGGAACTGAGCCGGGTTCAGAAGTACAAGTATCTGGGCATGTATGTTGGATACACTTGTGAGAGTAAAAATGCTGAAATAAATCATATCAGCAACTTATGTAAAGCCCGTCTGCATCCTCTAAAAGCACTGGCTTTTTCTGGTAAAGGTGTTGGGGTACCTATCTTGCGGATGTTAAACATAAGCACTGTTCGGTTCTTGATAGACTACGCAGCACCCGTTTTGTCTTACACAGGCCAAGGCAGAATAAAAAAAATAGAGCTGATACAGAACGAGGCTATGAGCATTATTCTTGGATGTCAAAGAAATGCAATGATTGAAATAATGAGAATGGAATTAAATTTACAGAGTGTGTATGATAGAGTCCGTGACATTAACACTAGAGTATCTATTCGTTTCATGCGGAGAAAAGGAGGGGATAAGCTGTTTGAGAGCGTTCAGACCTGCATGACTGACATACACACTTCCAGGAAACTGAGGGAGACACGCTACACGAGGGGATTAGCTCATGACCTCAGGGAATACGACGTACTTGACTGCTGTAAACCCTCTCGACAGTGTAATATGTCTGCTCCCTGGAAAGTACAGAAAATAGACGTCGAAATTGTACCCCTCAAGGTGAAAAAGATTCATCATGAACCGGGACAATTACGGTGTTTGTATGGAAGCATGATATCTCGGTTACCAAGAGGCAACAGTTTACATGTATATTGCGACGGGTCGGTGGCGGAGGATGGCAGGGCAGGGTGTGGTGTCCTAATAAGAGAATATACGGAGTTTGGGACTGTGGACAGGATAATTGAACTCCGACTTAGTAATTATATATCATCCACACAAGCTGAACTGCAGGCCATTCTGGCGTGTTTGGAGGAAATACGTCATGACGGCAAAAATGTTTTTGTATTTGTCGATAGCCGAGGAGCACTTGAGTCCTTAAACAGTCGAAACCCAGTCTTCATGTCCATAGTTGAGGATTGTAAGAAAAGAATAACTGAGATACAGCTGAAAGGTCATAGTGTGAAATTCATGTGGATTCCATCTCATGTTGGAATAGTGCTCAACGAGGTGGCGGATGACTTGGCTAAACGTGCCACATCAAAACCACAAGTTGACATTGAATGTGAACTCACAATGAGACAAAAAAGAAGCAAAATCAGAAATATTCAGGCACAGACAGAAGTGGCGAGGAGAGATATAATGTATGAGAGAAGTCAAACCATGCAACACTACATGTATGTGAGTCAAAACACCAACATTTCACTTATGGTAAAAGGAGAAATGCTTGGAGTGACTGTGCACATGCGGCTCAGGCTTGGGTACAAATATTACTGGGAATATGGGATAGGTGTTCATGATAATGACACGAAGTGTCATCTATGTGGCATTTTAAGGTCTCACACCCTTGCCCATTATGTTCTTGATTGTCCGTTGATTAATGTATATAGAAACATTGAGATAAGGACTGTTCCTGAACAAATAGCCTGGATGTGTCACAACGGAAAGGTTGATGATATTCTGGAGAGATATAAGGACTTTGCACCACGACTGTAATTTTTTGTTGAATTATCTGCATGTCTCTTGCAAATTGTCTATACAGTATACCTAGGTCGTAAAAGTATTTGAGTGTACGTCTGATACCATACTACTTGTGTAAAGGAGGAAATGTATATGTTTATCTCTCAATGTTTGGTAATATGTTTATTGTTTATGATGTGTGTATATGTATGTATTAACACGATGTACTGAACGGGGTGAGAATAGCTTGAGCTTTCTCATCCCTTTGTGTCTATTTTACATCAATAAACTTATTTCAATTTCAATTTCAATTCCAATTAATGGGCAACAAACTCTCTGAATGAATATTTTACATTATTGTTTACACTAGAGAGGTTAGATGACATCCCATCACCCACACAAATGTTTGAAAGAAGTGAAGAGAGCGAATTAACGGATTTACTCCAGACGTGAGACACAATCAGGAAGAGCATTGACAAACTAAAAGGACTCGAAAGCCCCAGGTGTGGATGGAATTCAATCCAGTCATAAAGGAACTGGCAGATGCACAATACCTAACACTGAAACCCCCCATTTTCAGAAATTCTTTGAACAGGGGTATAAACCTATGGAACAGCCTACCTGCTGAAGCCGTAAATGCCAAGATTGTTGAATTTCAAAATCCAACTGGAGAAGATTATCAAGGCAAATGTTGGCAAAAACGAGGCCACTAATGTCAGTGGCCCTCAGGTAAACTTTGAATATATGCAGCATTGGTACGCTAAATAATGTGACTATAGGTATTTTGGTTCCTGAGGACGGATTGCTGGATCAACATCCTCCAAATTGTTCAGTATGTTAATTAAAAGTTTTGACGAGATCCGCCCTGTCATATCTGGTTTGCAGTGTTAACTGTGTGGCCCTCAACCGTTCCTGGTGTGTGAGTTCATTTTGCTCTGGAATGATTTTGTTGCCCAGTGTTGAACTTTCTCCAAAGAAGCTCAGTTTATTAGAAGATGAGGTCTCTATGCTTAGATTCAATAATCCAAGTGGGGGCACACCAGAAATTTATACAATTGAATAACTACCTTCTTTTGATAAAATCAGTAGGAGCCATGAGGTGTGAATGGCTCCACACCGCTGGAGCCATGAGGTGTGAATGGCTGCACACCGCTGGAGCCATGAGGTGTGAATGGCTGCACACCGCTGGAGCCATGAGGTGTGAATGGCTGCACACCGCTGGAGCCATGAGGCGTGAATGGCTGCACACCGCTGGAGCCATGAGGTGTGAATGGCTGCACACCGCTGGAGCCATGAGGTGTGAATGGCTCCACACCGCTGGAGCCATGAGGTGTGAACGGCTGCACACCGCTGGAGCCATGAGGTGTGAATGGCTCTACACCGCTGGAGCCATGAGGTGTGAATGGCTCCACACCGCTGGAGCCATGAGGTGTGAATGGCTCCACACCGCTGGAGCCATGAGGTGTGAATGGCTGCACACCGCTGGAGCCATGAGGTGTGAATGGCTGCACACCGCTGGAGCCATGAGGTGTGAATGGCTGCACACCGCTGGAGCCATGAGGTGTGAATGGCTGCACACCGCTGGAGCCATGAGGTGTGAATGGCTGCACACCGCTGGAGCCATGAGGTGTGAATGGCTGCACACCGCTGGAGCCATGAGGTGTGAATGGCTGCACACCGCTGGAGCCATGAGGTGTGAATGGCTCCACACCGCTGGAGCCATGAGGTGTGAATGGCTGCACACCGCTGGAGCCATGAGGTGTGAATGGCTCCACACCGCTGGAGCCATGAGGTGTGAATGGCTCCACACCGCTGGAGCCATGAGGTGTGAATGGCTGCACACCGCTGGAGCCATGAGGTGTGAATGGCTGCACACCGCTGGAGCCATGAGGTGTGAATGGCTCCACACCGCTGGAGCCATGAGGTGTGAATGGCTCCACACCGCTGGAGCCATGAGGTGTGAATGGCTCCACACCGCTGGAGCCATGAGGTGTGAATGGCTCCACACCGCTGGAGCCATGAGGTGTGAATGGCTCCACACCGCTGGAGCCATGAGGTGTGAATGGCTGCACACCGCTGGAGCCATGAGGTGTGAATGGCTGCACACCGCTGGAGCCATTCGTCTTTAACAAAACCGCTTAAGAAGCCGTTGTTGACTAGGGCCTGCCTAGGATATTTATATAATAAATATCGTTGTTGACTAAGATATTTATATGATAAATATCCCGCAGGATAATAAAAATAATGAACAAAAATGTAATGGGCAATAAAAGTAATGGACAACAAAAGTAATGGACAACAAAAGTAATGGGCAACAAAAGTAATGGGCAATAAAAGTAATGGACAACAAAAGTAATGGACAACAAAAGTAATGGACAACAAAAGTAATGGACAACAAAAGTAATGGACAACAAAAGTAATGGACAACAAAAGTAATGGACAACAAAAGTAATGGACAACAAAAGTAATGGGCAATAAAAGTAATGGACAACAAAAGTAATGGACAACAAAAGTAATGGACAACAAAAGTAATGGACAACAAAAGTAATGGACAACAAAAGTAATGGGCAATAAAAGTAATGGACAACAAAAGTAATGGACAACAAAAGTAATGGACAACAAAAGTAATGGACAATAAAAGTAAAGGACAATAAAAAAATGGGCAATAAAAGTAATGGACAACAAAAGTAATGGACAACAAAAGTAATGGACAACAAAAGTAATGGGCAATAAAAGTAATGGACAACAAAAGTAATGGACAACAAAAGTAATGGACAACAAAAGTAATGGACAACAAAAGTAATGGACAACAAAAGTAATGGACAACAAAAGTAATGGACAACAAAAGTAATGGACAACAAAAGTAATGGGCAACAAAAGTAATGGACAACAAAAGTAATGGGCAACAAAAGTAATGGGCAATAAAAGTAATGGACAACAAAAGTAATGGGCAACAAAAGTAATGGACAACAAAAGTAATGGGCAACAAAAGTAATGGACAACAAAAGTAATGGACAACAAAAGTAATGGACAACAAAAGTAATGGGCAACAAAAGTAATGGACAACAAAAGTAATGGACAACAAAAGTAATGGACAACAAAAGTAATGGACAATAAAAGTAGTGAACAAAGAAAACACGAACAAAAACGTATATATAAAAAATGTAATAGACAATTAAATATTTGACAATATATTAAATAGACAATGAAATTAACAAAATTAAATACCTCTAAGGGGCCGGGTGCACGTGCACCAAAACGTCCTCAAACACACTCAGTTTGTGTTGTGCATCTTCATGGTAAATGCTCCAACTTTTCCTAATGGATCAACATTATACAATGGAAAGAAAAAACAGCAAATTTCACAACTTCAAATTAGTAACTAATATCTTATAATGAGACCAATTGATATTTTATTCATTATGGTCCCAGAATGGGCCCCATGGGTCAAATAGATTGGAAAGTCTAGGGTATGGGGTGTGGGCCGGTATTGGAGCTAGACGTTAACCCAGAGATAGGTGACGTAAAAGGGGTTTTCGTTGTGGAATCAAAATATAACTTATTTAAAAATATTCTAACCAAAGCCCAGGAATGTAGTATACCATATAAATTGAATAGATCGAATACTAATGATCCAAAGTGGATAACAAAGGATCTGAAGAAGTCGTCGTCTTCAAAGGATCTGAAGAAGTCGAAGTCTTCAGCCGAACAAGTCATAGACTTGTTCGGCTGAAGGCATATTGTTAAGTTCCTCTTTCGTAAATACAGATATAATATATTTATTAAAAATACTACTCATTTCTTCATCACTATCTGTTATTTGACCTGTCTCAGTTTTTAATGGACCTATCCTTTCCCTAATCTTTGTAAGGTATAACTGGAAAAACCCTTTAGGATTTGTCTTCGATTGCTCTGCTATGCGAACTTTAGTTTCTTTTTGCTTTCCTTATCTCTTTTTAAGTATTTCTAACCAGTTGTACGAATTCCTGTTCTAAACTGACTTCCCCATTCTTAATCCTTTTGTACCACGCTCTCTTTTTACCTATAAGGTTCTTCAGATCCTTTATTATCCACTTTGGATCATTAGTATTCGATCTATTCAATTTATATGGTATACTTCATTCCTTGGCTTTGCTTTTAAATGGGGCTATATTTTGAATCCACATTCAAAATATAATTGATTCAAAACTGATAACCCACAGTGGGGTTACAGAGGCAGATAGTGGGTTCACCAACTGAACCCCAGTGTTCATTTAGCTAAGCAAGTAAAACTCTTCTGAATCTAGTTACACAATTTTTAAATATTTACAAGCAAGTATTTGCATTACTTTACAGGCAAGTACTTGCATTATCTACAGTGGATGGGCTGCATTGGCTATTTTATAGTTTTTTCCAGTGTCGGTCTTCCTCACTGGTATTTTACCACCTCTGACGAAGCAATCTTTGATTAACATATTGGAATTCTTACAAACTTGTCGCAGTTGAAAGGAAAGATTCTGCCTATTCCTGGTAAATCAGTTTTTCACGAAAACAGTGGGTTTTCCAGACCCAAAAGCTCTGATAAGGTCTAATCTTCACGAACAACTATGTAATTGGACACGAATTTTCCTAATGTTTTCAGTAGATACTTTGGTACCTCTTCTGTGTGCTGCTTTGTTTTCACCTGCTTGCTTGAAGTTTGTAATTCAGCTGCTCCCGTAGTTCCTTAACCACGAGTTGACACGGTCCGCTCAGTTGGTTTCAAGGGGAAATATCGTGAGGAAATAATGACAACAGCTAGGAGTTTTTATTGGTCTGATTCATCTTGGGAGACAGTTTGTTGCAATAGCAAGGTATTAAGTGGGTTTTAAAAGCTGGCAAATATTCTCTCCTTCATATTTTTTTTAACCAACCACTTGGGCTGGACGGTAGAGCGACGGTCTCGTTTCATGCAGGTCGGCGTTCAATCCCCGACTGTCCAAGAGGTTGCGCAACATTCCTTCCCCCCTCCCCCGTCCCATCCCAAATCCAGTGCTATGTAGTTGTAAGGGCTTGGCGCTTTTCCCTTATTTTTTTCCCTCTCCTATTTTCTAGTGGTTTCAATGTAATTCAGGTTTTAAACTTTGAACTGAAGAGAGCTTAGTTTCATGTAGGAAAAGATTAACTTCGTTGGCCAGTTCTTGATTTTGGGAAGTAATGCTGAGTTTATAACTAATTATTCAATACATTTTTCACAATATACAGCATCAGAAATACCTAAGCACAACTGCACTAAACAGATAGCAACAATGGTAAATGTTAACAAGTCTGTGATTATATATAAGAGCCTTCTGTCTCATAGATATTTTAACAGGAACCAAATGTTTGATCATCTTGCGACTTGGTCCTGCAGGCCCTAGAAGACATAGAGACCGGAGAGGCGTAGCGAGGCGGCCAGGGCCTGGGTGGTGCCGGGTTGACCCTGTGGCGCTGAGAACATGGTCCAGGGGTTGCCAGCGCTGACGTTCCTCTCGTGAAGTTCTCGAATCAGTGTCTCAATACCCTCGCCTGCAAGCATCAGGAGACGTGAAGGCCAAACCTCGCTATGTCACACATCTAAATAGCAACTTATATCAGAGAAATACAATATGGATTAATTAATATTTTGCTGAGATGAGCTGCACGTCTGGTTAATTTGAAGTATATAAACATTATAGCTTGCATTAATCCAAACCAGTGTTCTAAAATTGATCTGGGTTAATCAGGACTCATAATAACTTGTTTAGTCAAAGGCAATGTTGGGTAATCAGTGCCCAGAATTATACTAGACGCACCTCAACAAAGTATACTAATACAATAATAATAATGATACTAGAGGCCAAAGAAGAGCTTCAAGGAACTCTGGTTGTTCTGGAAATGCATCAAAATATATACGTACTGGTGAGAAGAGTACCCAGGAAGGTCAGGTCATCATAGTGCCCACCTCTGGAGTGAGGACATAATTGACTTATCAGATCACAACACCATACAAGTTCGGGGTCGTCATCTGTGAGGTCACGGTGGATGGTCAGGGAAGCTGATCACCTTCGTATGGGAGAGAAGACAGGTCGGCCACATCCATGCTGGTCGCAGCTTCCAGGGTAATACCTGAAGACGTGCACTACTGTACATTCACTGCCCAAGCTACTGAGTTTCTGCGATAGAACAAGAAGGCGATGGCATCCTTACTGCTGATTTTATAGCATGGAATTTAAGAAGATGTTGAAGAGAGCTTTAGTGAAAAGGTTCCTTTAGCGAAATGAGTCCTTTAGGGACATGTGTTCTTCAGCGACATGTGTTCTTCAACTACACGTTGTAACACCATAAATGGTTGTATTTAATATTTCAGCTAGGAGCCACACTCACATTCACAACGAGTGGCATTCTATTGTAACCACTTAGACCCTCGCATCTTGGAATATATTTATATGGCCAAAATGAGACTAGAGTTCAACAGCTCTGGGGTCTTGTCTAAATAATTCACTCGCTAATTATCGTCCATTCAAAGTATGTGGTTAAGTCCATTAACAATTTATTATCACATCCTTTGGTATAGCAAGGACGTTCTTCCCCGCCCTTTGGCACGGGAAACAGGCCTTGCAATGTCTCCTCACATCAGCGTCCATTCCCAGCCAATAAAAATGCTCCCTCATCCGGCTTAGCGTCATGGTCCATCCTAGGTGACCTGCGGGATCCAAAGAGGGCGCAAGCTCTAGCGTCTTGTATCATATTATATTAAATAAATATTCAGATATATCATATCAACCGGCACCCGTCTCACACCGCAGGCCCTCCGAATTGCTGTGGCTCTCCGCCTCGCTGCCCCAATCCACACCGAATACAGGTGTATTTGTGGCGAGGCAGTGGCCGACAGGTACGGACGGCATGGCCTTCTCTGCCAAAGGACAGGAGGATGACATGCAAGACACGGCGAGGTTAATGACATTATTAAAAGAATCCTTACTACAGCCGGTTGTCCAGCAGAGGAGAGAGAGAGCCCCGTTACCTAATGTCCCGCAACTCTGATGAGCCTGTCGGTCGCCCAGATGGGATCACACTGAACCCCTGGAAGAATGGTAGACAGTTGGTATGGGACTACAGTTACGTTTCAACTTTAGCCAACACCTATGTTACCTTCAGTGCTGCACAGGTAGTAGGTGCTGCCAATCACCGGGAAGCAGCCAAGTCGAGTAAATACAGAGACCTTGAGCACCACTACAATTTTGTCCCCATTGCCTCCGAGACACTTGGTGCCTGGGGTATAAGTGCTGTTAGTTTTTTGAAGGAGCTGGGGTCTAAGCTAATTTAAACCACTAGAGGCTCGAGAGCCGCCAGTTTCCTCTTTCAGCGCCGTAATGGGGCAAACCAGAGAGGAAATGCTCACTGCATCCATGGTTCCAGCCCGCCATCTGAGGAGCTGGTGGAGCTCTACAACCTGTGACGAGTAGCCTTGTACCCCGGCATGTAACCAATGTTGTAACCCTTTTTTTGTAATTAAATTTTAAATAAAGTGAGTTATGTATATATATATATATATATATATATATATATATATATATATATATATATATATATATATATATATATATATATATATATATATATATATATATATATATATATATATATTTATATATATATATATTTATATATATATTTATATATATATATATATATATATATATATATATATATATATATATTTATATATATATATATTTATATATATTTATATATATATATTTTATATATATATTTATATATATATTTATATATATATTTATATATATATATTTATATATATATATATATTAGTATATTTTGGTAGCAGTCTTTCCTGTAGACATATATTATTAAATATGACCGAAAAAGTAAGATTAATAAATTAACTAACACAACACCTATACCCCCTATTAGACTATTTTACAGGAACTTCTTTTCCACAGCTCATAAAACGGAGGAAAGGGTCCTGAAAGATATTGTTAATAGAAACGTTATCCCTACAGACAAAAATCAGAGGATACAACTGACGATTTACTATAAAACCAGAAAAACGGCCAGCCTACTCATGAGAAACTCTCCAGACACAAAACAGAACGCTTTAAAAGAGACTAACGTCGTCTATGCCTTCAAATGCCCACTTGGGGACTGTAAGCTCCAAAAAACCCAGTATATAGGCAAGACAACAACATCTCTTTCTAGGCGTTTAACGATGCATAAGCAACAGGGCTCCATTAAGGAACATATAATCTCTTCCCATAACCAAACCATCGCCAGAGAAATCCTAGTAAACAACACAGAAATCATCGATAGATACAGCGATAGCAGGCGGCTTGACGTTTGCGAGGCACTACACATCAAGAAGTCAACACCAGCAATCAACAGCCAATTATTGCACAACTATATTCTACCCACCTCAAGACTCCGCTCCAATATAGAAGCATCAAGAAATATGGACCAATAGGCTTTCTACAAACACTTCTATTCAATACCCATTGTTTCTGTTCTGTCTTGTGTTGATACTTTTAATACCCGATTAATATCCCCTCCTGTTCTGTCTTGTGTTAATGCCACATCACCCTTCACACCTCACTCAAATGTAGATATAATATCAGAGAGACGTAAGTTCTAATCAGTTGTGTATTTGTGAAGTCTTTGAAAATGTAATAAGTTTTACGAAACGCGCCCGTGTCGCGTCAGACTAGAAATAAAAATGAATTTTGGAGAAGTGATTTTTTATTTACCTCCAACAGTGAAGCGTAATGTACGAAAGATTGAGAAAATTCGTGTTAGAATTATTAATCTTACTTTTTCGGTCATATTTAATAATATATATATATATATATATATATATATATATATATATATATATATATATATATATATATATATATATATATATATATATATATATATATATATATATATATATATATATATATATATATATATATATATATATATATATATATATATATATATGTCGTACCTAGTAGCCAGAACGCACTTCTCAGCCTATTAGGCAAGGCCCGATTTGCCTAATAAGCCAAGTTTTCCTGAATTAATATAATTTCTCTAATTTTTATTTTATGAAATGATAAAGCTACCCATTTCATTATGTATGAGGTCAATATTTTGTTATTGGAGTTAAAATTAACGTAGATATATGACCGAACCTAACCAACCCTACCTAACCTAACCTAACCTATCTTTATAGGTTAGGTTAGGTTAGGTAGCCGAAAGAGTTAGGTTAGGTTAGGTTAGGTAGGTTAGGTTGTCGAAAAAAGATTAATTCATGAAACTTGGCTTATTAGGCAAATCGGGCCTTGCATAGTAGGCTGATAAGTGCGTTCAGGCTACTAGGTACGATATATATATGTATATATATATATATATATATATATATATATATATATATATATATATATATATATATATATATATATGTCGTACCTAGTAGCCAGAACGCACTTCTCAGCCTACTATGCAAGGCCCGATTTGCCTAATAAGCCAAGTTTTCATGAATTAATATATTTTCTCTATTTTTTTTCTTATGAATTGATAAAGCTACCCATTTCATTATGTATGAGGTTAATTTTTTTTATTGGAGTTAAAATTAACGTAGATATATGACCGAACCTAACCAACCCTACCTAACCTAACCTAACCTATCTTTATAGGTTAGGTTAGGTTAGGTGGCCGAAAAAGTTAGGTTAGGTTAGGTTAGGTAGGTTAGGTAGTCGAAAAACAATTAATTCATGAAAACTTAGCTTATTAGGCAAATCGGGCCTTGCATATTAGGCAGAGAAGTGCGTTCTGGCTACTAGGTACGACATATATATATATATATATATATATATATATATATATATATATATATATATATATGTCGTACCTAGTAGCCAGAACTCACTTCTCAGCCTACTATTCAAGGCCCGATTTGCCTAATAAGCCAAGTTTTCCTGAATTAATATATTTACTATAATTTTTTTCTTATGAAATGATAAAGCAACCCTTTTCTCTATGTATGAGGTCAATTTTTTTTTATTGGAGTTAAAATTAACGTAGATATATGACCGAACCTAACCAACCCTACCTAACCTAACCTAACCTATATTTATTGGTAAGGTTAGGTTTGGTAGCCAAAAAAAGCTAGGTTAGGTTAGGTTAGGTAGGTTAGGTAGACGAAAAAACATTAATTCATGAAACTTGGCTTATTAAGCAAATCGGGCCTTGAATAGTAGGCTGAGAAGTGCGTTCTGGCTATTAGGTACGACATATATATATATATATATATATATATATATATGTCGTACCTAGTAGCCAGAACGCACTTCTCGGCCTACTATGCAAGGCCCGATTTGCCTAATAAGCCAAGTTTTCATGAATTAATTGTTTTTCGACTACCTAACCTACCTAACCTAACCTAACCTAACTTTTTCGGCTACCTAACCAAACCTAACCTATTAAGATAGGTTAGGTTAGGTTAGGTAGGGTTGGTTAGGTTCGGTCATATATCTACGTTAATTTTAACTCCAATAAAAAAAATTGACCTCATACATAATGAAATGGGTAGCTCTATCATTTCATAAGGAAAAAAATAGAAAAAATATATTAATTCAGGAAAACTTGGCTTATTAGGCAAATCGGGCCTTGCATAGTAGGCTGAGAAGTGCGTTCTGGCTACTAGGTACGACATATATATATATATATATATATATATATATATATATATATATATATATATATATATATATATATATATATATATATATATATGTCGTACCTAGTAGCCAGAACGCACTTTTCAGCCTACTATGCATGGCTCGATTTGCCTAATAAGCCAAGTTTTCCTGAATTAATATATTTTCTCTAATTTTTTTCTTATGAAATGATAAAGCTACCCATTTCATTATGTATGAGGTTAATTTTTTTTTATTGGAGTTAAAATTAACGTAGATATATGACCGAACGTAACCAACCGAACCTAACCTAACCTATCTTTATAGGTTAGGTTAGGTTAGGTAGCCCAAAAAGGTAGGTTAGGTTAGGTTAGGTAGGTTAGGTTGTCGAAAAACAATTAATTCATGAAAACTTGGCTTATTAGGAAAATCGGGCCTTGCATAGTAGGCTGAGAAGTGCGTTCTGGCTACTAGGTACGACATATATATATATATATATATATATATATATATATATATATATATATATATATATATATATATATATATATACACATATATATATATATATATATATATATATATATATATATATATATATATATATATATATATATATATATATATATATATATATTAGTATATT